CAGATGTTTGTAATTACTGGATAGCCATTTTTAAAAATCATTTACTGATTTTTATCAGTTCATTAAGAAGAATCAACTGAAAACATCTAACTAAAAAGAAAAAATTGCACACAAATCAGACTCAATACAAGAGCAATATGTAGAGCAGGAATAAATAAAGTATAATCACTACTGAGATTACTGACTTAAGATTTTAAAGTTCTCATAAAAGTACACCCCCAAAACAAAATCAAGACTTTGTAAAAGAGCATAATAGGACCCCTTTAAAATTTTGTTGCTTTTAGTATGAATATCTTAGCCTTAAGGATATCTCTAAGCTAGAGCTACAGTGTAAATATTTTTTACTCTGGGGTGAATGAAGTCTGGTTTCAAATCAGTGTCACACAAACATCCACAGTGTACACGGTGTGCTTAAATCCGGAGACAGGACTGCACAGAGCGGATCACATACACGAGGTTGCACAGACCACAACATGTATCTGACCCATTTAAATTCTACACAGAATGCTGAATTTTAAAGCTCTACTGAGGAGAGCAAACATTGTAAACTGTTAGACAGCCTCAGCATTATAAACAACACTGATGAGTAGACTAGTTAACGCTGGGGCCATACATAATAACCATTACTAAAAATCCAGTTTTTTCTGCAGTAGCAATTTCACATTAAATCTAAAGGGAGATCTAAACGAGAGCGACAAACACAGGTCTATGCAGAAATCAAACGATAAAGATGCTCCGCAGATAACCAGACGAAGTTGTGGAAAAACACCGTCTTTGCATTGCCTTCCTTTTGATCCCAACATTAGGAAAGTGTGGATGAACTTTATTTTTAATGAAGTTCCAGAATGCGTCAGTAAGAACTAGTGGTCGACCGATATGGGTTTGTTGACAGCCGATGCCGATATCTTGGAAAGCAGGGTGGCCGATGGCCGATACAATTTTATTTATTTTAATTTATATTTAAGAAATTTGAAATAATTTGAAAATGGATTAAAAATAATTGTGTCAAATAAACATTTATACTTTAGAAGACAAAGCATTTTTCACAAATAAATAAATATTTAATAAAAATCTAATTAAAAAGGAAATAAACACGGTAACCAACAGGGCACTCAGTATTCTGGGAAGTTTGTGTGAATCATTTTTTTTTTTTTTCAAATAAAGCCAAGGTAACACTCATTTTACATACAGCACGCAATGAAAATGACATGAATATGACAGTGGGCAACTGCATAAAGCGCAGCATAATTTGAAATCACTAGTTTAAAGTTTGTCGATCGCGCGTCTCCAGTGAAGCTGAACTCTCCTCCTGTCAGCATTCAATTTGCACGGATCGACCGTCACCCAGAGAACATGCGATCATGCAGGATACAAATGCACACTTCACAAGATCTTAACTAGATTCGACTAAGTCTGCAAGGTTTGTGAAATTAAATGTTAATCAGTCATTCAAAGATTTGTTTAAATGATATAAATGCGTGTTTGCTGAATGCTGACGGCAAATGAGAAAGAATTATAATGTTTGCCTTTCTATTACTAATAATATTAAAGCAATCGTTATAATACTTTTTTGTATACATTTTAATTATTTTGTTTAACAGTTCTATCTGATTATTAGATAGACTTATATCCATATTAGACAGAACTGAACGACGACAGCGAACAAGAGGGAGAATGTGAGCGGTGTGCGCTGCGGCTGCCGTTCTCAGCGCCGGCAAAATAAAAGTCCGCCACACCGTCAAAATAAAAGTCCCGCCTCGAACACATCGGCTAAACAGCAAAACTTATCAGCCGATGCCGATATTGATATTTGAAAAATGCCAAATATCGGCCGATATATTGGCCTTGGCGATATATCGGTCGACCACTAGTAAGAACTCAGTAAGTGGTTCACGTCATTTCACCGTGGATTCGTTTACAAACAAAGCACAATTCAACACGGGACTTTCAGAAAGATTGAAACTAAAAGACGATGATGTGCCGACTATATTGGATTCTACAGTAATGTCGCACCACACAAGTGTGTGTAACTGTGGTCACTATTGCTTTGTCTGTTATTACAGATCATTTGATATGTACTGAGTATTTACGTGTTTTTGACCTAAATGACAGCAGCGTCCATCTATGAAAGACGTACTGTCAAACTTACACAACTGTTAGCCAATCATGGCAGTGGGTATTTACTTCCGAGTCTACAATTCGCCACACCTATTCAAAGAGTGTTCTGAAGAGGGGGGTTAAAAGCATGACCATGAAAATAACCTATTACTTCTAAATTATTGTGTTTTTTTCTGATGTAAAAATCTTGATAACATTATAAAGGGACCTCAGAGTACAAAATAATAAAAAGGCAGTTCATGACCACCATTAATAATTTTCCACAACTTTCTTAGGCCTGAAAAACACCATTTTTAAATTCACTGATATTTCCTGGTTTTCAAGAGCCATGGGAACCCTGGTGTATGTACCTGGCTCTGCAGCTGACTCTGGCTCTCCTCCAGCTGTGCGATGCGTAACGTGCTCTCCTGCAACATGGTGTGCTGGTTCTGGATAGAGTGCTGCAGCTGTAGGTTCTCCTCACTGGAGCTCTGATAAGCTACACATTTCCTCTTCAGCTCTTCCTGCAGCTGTGACAGCTGATAAACATTCTACACTGAGTGATACATTAGCCAACAGGAGCTACTAACTGTCATTCAAATAATGTTCCCCAGGAAGAGGAAGTGCCTAGCCCTAGTGACCGACCTCACTGTTCTTCAGCTCCAGTTGTCTATCATGATGTTTCTTTACCTCCTCCATCTGCTGGAGGTAATGACTCAGCTCCTCTTTACAGGAGGACAGTTTGGTCTGCAGGTTCCTAACCTAGAAAGAAACAAAACAGAAATTACAACCATGTCCTAACCAAGTATGGTGCAATAAAGCAATAAATCTCATGAGTTTTTGTCCTATATAATAATCAGTGTATGCACTTACTGGCTACACTACTTTCTGCTTTGAGGACTGAATGATTACTTGACACTAGAAACAGGATTGGGCAACCCTACTCCACAATAAGGTCCCATTAGTTAACATTCCTTAATGAATATGTTAACAATGAGCAATACATTTGCTACAGTATTTATTTAAAATTAGTTAATTAATAAAAATACAACTGTTCATTGTTAATTCATGTTTATTTGGTACCATTAAATAATATTAACAGATACAACTTTTAATAATGTGTTAGCAAATGTTGACGTATATCCACCTTTTTCCTGAATGCGGAAGTTTCACCTGACTGGAACTGCTTTACATGGTGTACGTTTTTATGTGGTGTTTCTAGTCGAATTAACATATTTTCCGAGCTGATAATATAATGTTAAACCTATGAAAATGGTTTTAAAAAGCACATGGCGCCATAGTTTTAAACACTTCACAGAGTCACCGTCATTTTGTAGTAACTCACCTGTCATAGTTTAATGTGTGGATAGATGACATGAAGCAGCCCAATGTAAGCTGCATTGAAAACAGATGAGGGCACATATAGTTCGTGGGCTTTTGTCCACAAACTGATAAGAGCACACATTATTTTAACACCGTTTCAATTTAATTAAGTCAATCTTTTCTACCCTGTTTTAACATGGATTTCTATGGAGACCGGAACACGAAAGCACCCAAATGGAAGTTAGAATCCATCATGTCGGCACTCATCGGTTACTCAGGAAAAAGGTAGATATAATCAAGATGTAAACTGAGACTTTTTTTTACCTCAATAACTATGAATCATGGTTAGGTAATTTTAAATATCAACACTGCCAGGTTCTGTTAATAAAAATGTAGCTTTGTAATAATTACAGCAGAAATAAGGAAATATCTTTGAATATCGTGTTGGACAATGGGGGTGTGACAATGGGTGAGACAAAAAGGGTGATAACCATTGCTTTAGACAAAGAAATGCAATGCCATACTATCCTGTTCTGTTCACAGTGTTGAGTAGACAAATAAAGTAAAAAACAGTTAGTCAGTCTCACCACTGAAGCAGAGTCAGCAGCTTGTTCTTCAACATTTCTAAGTGCCTCTTCACTGCTTTTAGATTTTGCCTCAAAATCCTGTCCAAGGAACGAAGACATACTCCGTGAGAGATTTACACAAACTCACATCATTCACAGTTAACGTGTTGCAGTGCAGTCCAAAAGCCTGAGTAAAGTAAAACATTTTGTATTGAATCATTTATTACATTTTTTCTTTCATTAGAAATTAATGTAAAGTGTAAACCCTGCAAACAGCATATTGTGCTTGAATGGAAGCAAGAACATCTGAATGTCTACAGACATTCACATGATCAATATCACACATTTCATTTGATTACTGACCAAGCAATAGTCACATTTCCTCTTACTTTAAAGGTAGGGTGGGCCAGTGGTTTTCAAACTCTGGGTTGAGAATGAAAAATGAAACTTTTATAACGAAACAAACACAAACAACAAAACGAAAGTACTCTGCAGCCACCTCACAGCAGACTCCAATGTGTATTTGTGTTTACGCCCTGGAGAGCATCAAAGGTTTGTATTTACGTGTTTTTGCAGCATTGAACATTTTAGCCAATCACAGATATATCTGTTGATTTGTGGAACACAATGGCCAATCAGAAGTGTTTCAGTTAGTCAGAATCCACGCACCGCTCAAAACACTGGAGTTTTTTTGTTCAGTCCGGACTCCGGAGTTCTGCAAGCTTGCAAATCCCCTCATTAAAATGTTGTCTATCTCTGTTTATTTTGGAAAATGTTCCAATTTTACATCTGCTCTGTAAAGGAATCTTTTTATTTTTCCATACTGGCTTAACACCATCTGGTTTAGCCTGCTAGTACAGCAGCCACGCCTCAAACTCTCGCTATTTGCTGAGCATAGGTAGGCAAATAAGGCAGGTAGAACAGCGTATCAGTGCATCTGGATCAATTCGGATTCAGATTTTTAATGTAGTCTCAGACTTTGGAAGGCCACTGTATTCATGGAATGAGTATGCATAAAAAGCGAGATCTGACCTCAGTGAGCTTATCTACAACGGCCTGTAGAAGAGTAGCTCTCTGCTGTGACTGCTGCTTCTCTGTGTGAAGATCAGTCACATTTTGTTCTAGTTCCTCAAGTTCAGTCTGTTTCTGAGCCAGAGACAACCGTAGCTGAAACACACACACACACCAGAAACAGAGTATAGATTTGCAGTTTTATCTTGAAATCATTACATGCTTTGTATGTATATGTTACCAGAAGGTCTTGTTCAAGCTGGCTGGTCTTCATTACAGCCTGTGAATAAGCAGCACTCTTCTCCTGCACCTGTTTCTCCAGGACAGTCACACGCAAACTCTTCTTTTTTAGCTAATGAACAGAACATTGCTCAGTTAGATTAATACACTTCTAGAAAATTCAAAACAATAGGTAATTGGAGGGGAATACTTGAAAGGTAAACTATTGTTTAAATTTAGGGGTTGGTAAGATTTTTTAAACGTCTCATGTTCACAAAGGCTGCGTTTATTTGATCAAAGTTACAGTAAAAGCAGTAATACTGTGAACTATTATTACAATAAAAAAATAAAAGTTAAAAATAGAAATAAAGTTTTTCTTATATCCTTTTTAGTGTATCCCTGTTTTTATTCCAAAGTCCCTTTTCTCCACATTGGATAATTCTAATTCTCAATTAGTATGGAATCGTAAGACTTCAGGGACCTAAAAAAACAAATGCAAAGAATATGGATGGTTTGGCTCTCTACAATTTTCTATTGTATTATTGGGCTGTGAATAAACGCTCTACACTACACTGGATTCATTAGAACAATAGACAATTATGGCTTCCAAATCATCCCTGTCTTCTGCCATAGATGTTAATCCTTCCTTCCCCTCCTCTATTCTGGATGGTGCATATATGCCTATTGGAGGGATCAAGGTCTCCTTTCTAACATTTTTTCGCTAAAGGCTGAATATGGTTATAGTTAAAAAATTATAGTTAATTTCGGAATATGGGAGTTTTGGACAAGGGCCTCTCCTCATCTATTTGCACAAATAATTATAATAATAATAATAATTCCTTACATTTATATAGCGCTTTTCTGAGCACTCAAAGCGCTTTACATAGATGGGGGAATCTCCTCAACCACCACCAGTGTGCAGCATCCACCTGGATGATGCGACGGCAGCCATATTGCGCCAGAACGCCCACCACACACCAGCTTATTGGTGGAGAGGAGACAGAGAGATGAAGCCAATCAGTAGATATGGGGATGGTTAGGAGGCCATGATGGACAGAGGCCAATGGGCGAATTTGGCCAGGATGAAGGTAGTTCATAAGAGTTCACTGGTTCAAATACAGACTTGGATTGATCCAACTAGTGACCCACTTAAGAGTGATAGGTGTCACTTGGGACAACCAAACTAACTCTACAAACTAACCTTTTGGATATATACAGTTATGATCCACTGTATATATCCATGGAGGAGACATACTTTGCAGTATATGGAAAATGTTAAGAGGGATCATACAAAATGCATGTTATTTTTTATTTAGTACTGACCTGAATAAGATATTTCACATAAGATGTTTACATATAGTCCACAAGAGAAAATTATAGTTAAATTTATAAATGACTCCGTTCAAAAGTTTACATACGCTTGATTCTTAATACTGTGTTGTTATCTGGATTATCCACAGATATTATTTTTATTTTTTTATTTTTTTGTGATAGTTGTTTATGAGTCCCTTATTTGTCCTCAACAGTTAAAAAAAAATTTGCCAGGAAGGATAAGGAGAGAGTAATTGTCTGTGGCCACCACCTGCAAAACTATTCTTTTTAGTCCTGCTGTTACCTCTCTAACACTCTTGTTGTCACTTTCATTTGCACCAAAGCAGGAGAAACTGATTCACACCACGGTTTTGTGCAGCCTGTAAGTGAACAACGGCTCTGTGTAGTAAATGTTGCTCCATGTGAAAGCACGCACGTAATGGATATTTACCACTGATTACAGAACCGGCTTTACTGACAAGATGCACATTACATATGGCATGCGATTTATCGTGCAGCCCTAATCACACTCACTTATGCTTCCTAACTGGACAGATTGATATCCCTGAAGCTCACTGCTGCCCTGATCCAGGTCTGGCAGGAGACCCCCCAGAACACAATCCGCCATCTCATCAGGAGCATGCCCAGACGTACGAAGTGCATACAGTCACGTGGGGGCCATGAACACTACTGACTTACATTATGAAACGCTGTCATGGAATTCAAGTTCGATCAGCCTATAATTACATTTTGTTTTACTTTGATTTTCTGTGATATTGAATCTAGCCCTCAATCTGTTGATTTGGCTTCCACTGACTACCGTCACATTCTATTCTCAAGAGATACAAGTGTTCCCTTATGTTTTTTGTGCAGTATATTATATATCTATCTATATCTATATGTGTGTGTGTGTGTGTGTGTGTACACATTTATATATGTATATAAGTACTAATAATATTATTCTTACAATTTCAGTAATTTGTAAAGTCTCTTTTCCTTTGTAATGTTGCTTTGTTTTCTAAAATGTTTCAATAATTCATAAGATTACTATGTAATATAATACCAATTTAATCAATTTCATGCATCCTTACTGAATTTGGCATAAAACGAAGTTGTGTTCGCATTTTGATTTCATGGTGACTTTAAACGTACTCTTCCCAAACTTTTGAACAGTAGTACATGCCATTCCTTAAGTTTAATTAGTTAATATTTAATGAATAATGAAATACTTTCTGCACTGGTAGTGAAATTTCACTTCTATAATACTACATACAGTCAAATGTTATAAATACAGATTACAGGTTACATCATTTTTTATTTTAAATTAATTACTTGACTTAACTACTTAAAAACAACTGTCTATTGTTATATACCTGTACATACAATTGTCGATTTGTATATTTTTATTCCTTATTTACTTGTTCTATTTTTTATTTTGTATTTATTTTTATTTTTTATTATCTGTGTTTTTTGTTCTGTCACTGTCATTCTGTTACACTGTGGAAGCTTCTGTCACGAAAACAAATTCCTCGTATGTGTAAACATACCTGGCAATAAAGCTCATTCTGATTCTGATTCTGATTAACTATATTATCAAGCAAGAATCATTGTCACATGTGAAATGTTTCCAAAAGCAGTGCATAAACATACAAACAAACTTCAAGCATTTGTGATTATTTTTTCACTGCTTCAAGTTCACATTTTTTACATGCAGCCAGCAAAGACAATTAAAAACAAAAATGTTCATGGTACCAACGAAACTACTATGACACTGTTCTGGTACAGGAAACACTGATTTGAAGGGTCACTAACCTCTTTCTCCAAGGAGGTGGCCTGTGTAGCCTTGTCCAGTAGCTGGTTGTGGAGCTGCTGGTAGTGAGACGATCTCTCTGTGATGGAGTTCTGCAGCGAGGAGATCTCCTCCTGGGCTCTAGTCAGGCTCTCTTGTAGGCCCTGTGCGGCACTGGCATGCCGGGTCTTCTCCCTCTCAACCATCTGAAGCACCGCCAACAGTTTCTGATAACGTTCACCTATATGAACAGGGGGAGAGATTAAAGTAACAGTTTGTCCAGTAAAACAATACAAAATACAAAAAACTGCATGAATAAATGAAAGTGGACAGTCTCAGGAAGGCAGCAGTATCCTGTGCTGAGAGTTATATGCTCACCAGGTTTGTTTTTGAGAGATTCAGTGGTGCTTGTGTAAGACAAGTCGGGCAGCAAACAAGGGTTCACACACAGTGCACCCTCCTGATTCTGAAACACAAGTCATTCCACACAGTCATGAAGAGAACTGTTTTTGCCCATAAAACTAAAATCAGTGAAGTCAAATTATGTTTTACACACCATAACTTTCAAAAACTGAAAAAAAATATAGACATACAGGTTTGGGACTACATGAGGGTAAGTAAAGGCCCATTCACACAAAGAATGATAACTATAACAATATAGTTTTGACAAAGCAGAAAAGAGCAGAAGAGAGTCCACACCACAACTACAACCATAAAAACACAGAAGACTGTTGGTGGAATCACTTTCAGAAAGATTTTTTTTCAGCCGATGAATGATAAAAACATTGACAGCCATTCAGAATCCATTCTGCTTTAAAGTGACCAAGCATAGTGACATAGAACACTATCATCCGTTGGTGTAGACACTAATATAGCTATCGCTACAGTTATCGTTCTTGGTGTAAACAGGCCTTAAAGAGCAGGTCATATGGGTTTTTGAAAAATATCTCTTTTGCAGTTTATAACGTAGCTATCCTTTAATGAAAACAATCTGCAAAGTTGTTAATCAAAAAAGTGCATGATAAATAAAGATTAAACTGTCGTTGTTCTAATTACTTCGTTTAATAATAAAGAATGTAGTGTAGTGCACAGACTTTATAATCATTGTGAAATTGCTGTTTATTTTGCTGCACCAGCAGTTATAGGGTTAATGCGGGAGAGACGAGCGAGTTAGTTAGGCTGGTGCACCTGTGATACAGCTGTTCTGCGATCTGATTAAAAGTTAAGACACAGAGCGTCTTTTGTCTGTCGTTCTTCAAGCATTACAGTAGACATATTTTGGTTTACAAACTGTATTGTTTCACCAGTTAGTCACATTAGCACTCGGCTAACGTATCCACCATTATTGTTTTAAGTGTTCACAGTTTAGCAGCTAAACTTTAGCTGTGGGCACGATTAGCTAGCATTAGTGTTTTTGTATTTTATGTCATTATTATAAAAACGGATTGGAGCACTATATTATTGTTTTATGCAAAGGTGCTTTGTCAATGGTAGCGCTCGCTAACTTGCTCAAGGACTCCTCTCTGTGCCAAACACAACAGGCTTGGCCAGCTGACCAATCAGAGCAGAGTAGGCTTAGGGAGGGGTTTGCTCCGAACTTGCTTGGAACGAATCGTTTAGAAATCATTGGCAAATGACTCTAATATTAAATGCATATTCTGAGAAAATTACAATGTTTTCTGACCTTAGATGCATTTAAACCTGTTGTAGGGGACTCTAACACAATTTAAAATACCATATGACCTGCTCTTTGCTCATTTTTAGGTGAATTATCCCTTTAAATGTGCACAAAGCAATACAAATTTTCAAATGTAATTACTTTTATGTAGGATGTGTGTGTGTGGGTTTAATGAGCACCTCTCTCAGATGTAGTAATTCCAATATGCTCTCTAGGCTGGTCAGCTCAGTTCTGTCCTGTTCTTTCTCTCTGTGGGCATGAGCCACCCTCTGCTCCTGACATGCCGTGAGGAGCCGCAGGTCCTCGTTCTCTTTCCTCAGCCCTGCCATCTCCTGCAGCCGAACCTCCTTCTCAGCTAGCTCCCTCTGCAGCTGTTTCAGCTGATCTGAGAGCTGCTGAGCCTGAGACTGCAGCTGCACATGCTCAGTGGAGAGAGACTCAGAGCGGCTGTGAACCTCCTTCAGCTCACTGATCAGAGAACAGAAACGGCAGTAACTAGCATGAGCAGTTTCCCTTTTCCAACTGGTCAAATAATCGGTTCATTTACTGATTAACATATTAGATGATATGCGTATCAGTTGCAATGACATCAATGGAACTTTCACTTTGTTTAAACATAAATGTATTAAAATTGTGAAAAAAAATTCCCAATAGGATACAAAACAATACAAAAAAAAATAAAAAATTCTAAATATATTTTCTGGAAACAAATCTTAATATTTTATGCAATTTTGTTTATTTATATTTAT